GATCATGACCTGAGCCAAAGGCAGAGGCTTAACCCACTGAGCCGCCCAGGCACACCATACACAGTACTTGATTTTAATCACAGATCACTAAAAACCTAACTTTACAAAGATATGCCATCATCAGAAAGAATGTGACCTAACGTGTAAGCGTGAACTACCCCAAGTTAGCAGTTTAAGCGGTGTAGGACAGATGTCACTGTGTTTCCCTTGAAAACTGAAAATATCCCATGGGGGTGCCTTGACACAGTCTGGGAATGACAGACATAAACTACTTCTATGACCCCCCCCCAAAAGATGCCTATCCAGCATCCCTCTCTCTTTTCTTACTACCAGTATTTTCATTTTCCTTTATAGGTCTATCCGGATCTCCCTCATTCTTCTTTCATATGGTTTGTGTGGGACTCCTGTGGGAATTACCAAGGAAAAGTCGTTCTGTTTTGGTCAGACTTGCTGAGTTGGAAGATGTCAGCCTGGGTGGCCAGTGCACCTCTTCGCCACAACATGACAGAGACTGCCTGAGAATAAGGCTGATACAGAAGATACAGAGAGGGGGTGCCTGGCTGGCTATTTGGTTATGCGTCCAACCCTTTGTTTCGGTTAGGGTCACGATCTCGGGGTTGTGGGATCGAGCCCCACCTCGGGCTGTACCCTCAGCATGGAGTCTGCTTGTCCCTCCTCCTCTGGTCCTCCCCACACTTGCGAACGCACACGCATCTCTCTCTAAAATAAATAAATAGGGGCGCCTGGGTGGCTCAGTGGGTTAAAGCCTCTGCCTTCGGCTCAGGTCATGATCCCAGGGTCCTGGGATCGAGCCCCACATCAGGCTCTCTGCTCAGCGGGGAGCCTGCTTCCTCCTCTCTCTCTCTCTGTCTGCCTCTCTACCTACTTGTAATCTCTGTCAAATAAATAAATATCTTAAAAAAAATAAATAAATAAATAAATAAAATCTAGAAAAAGAAGAAGAAGAAGAAGAAACAGAGAGACACACACACAGAGACATCATTGGAGCCCCTGGACCTAGCCTGGCCTGAAGCCATTTGTCACTGGACTTCCCAATATATGAGCCAATAAATTCATTTTTTGGCTTAAAGCCAGCTGAATGGGGTTTCTGTCACTTGCAACTAAGAATCCTGACTAATGTGGGGCGCCTGGGTGGCTCAGTGGGTTGAAGCCTTTGCCTTCGGCTCGGGTCATGATTCTGGGGTCCTGGGATCGAGCCCCGCCTCGGGCTCTCTGCTCAGCAGGGAGCCTGCTTCCTCCTCTCTCTCTCTCTGCTTCTCTGCCTACTTGTGATCTCTGTCTGTCAAAATAAATAAATAAAATCTTAAAAAAAAAAAAGAATCCTGACTAATGTACTATACATATATATATATATATATATATATATATATATATATATATAGTTCAGTGCTTTACTACATATACATTATATATATAGAGAGAGCATATATAAAGTAGGGCACGAATGAAATGAGACCCCACAAGTTCAGAAGCTTTTCTTTGCAGAGCCAAGGGTCTCAAGATACTTTGGGAGCCCACAGTGTTAGGAACCCCCAAAATATCTGACATACACAGCAGACCTGGGTTCAAATTCCAAAATTCCATGACTTTCAAGTTAGTTAATATCTCTTAGCCTCAGTCTAAAGCAGGGTTGGTCATTTAGATTAAATGGAAAAATCCAGTACCCTACAGTTAGCTCTTACTGTTATTATTGTCAGTCTTTGTTTTGTAGATAAACTCAGAAGCTCAGAGTGATGGCTTGCTGAAGGTCAGATACTAGACAGGCACGGGCTTCAGGCCTAAACCCAGGAACTGTGACTCCCTGTCCAGGGGCTTTCCGCACAAAGCACTTCTAAAGAAAGAGACCCGTAAGGCAATGCAAGATGGAAGAGAAAAGCCTATAAAAGTGTGCCCAGGGCACAGACCTGCTTTAAGCAGTGGTTAAGAGTATAGACCCTGACATTCAACAGCCTGGGTTTGAATCCTGACTCCAGTACTTACAAGACATGTGACTTTGGGTATATGATTTTCCCTCTGTAAAATGGGATAACAGGATCTCTTTCATAAGGTTTTCATAAAATAATACTGACCTTCTTGCTTCTACCCTGTCCCTCTCATGTCTATTGTATACACAGCAGCCAGAGAGATGCCCATTTCATTGGTAGGAAAAGCCAAAATCTTTACAGTGGCCTACCAGGTCCCTGCATTTCTGTAAGGTCAGATTTAGGGAACAACCTCTTCGGGCCATCTCCTTCCTGGATGGGGGAGGATGGGGTCAAGTTTCCAGTGATGCAAGTCAAGAAATGCTTATTAAATCACCTGCCACAGTGTCTGTAAGTGACCTTCTGTGGTCACACCACAAGCCACAGGGCCAAACATGTGCTGGTCTCAGACTGATGCTCAATTCACTAGCATGGATGAAACCACAGCCAGCCAAAACCAAAGTTCCCATAGCCACTTGACCTTGCCCCTGAGTCTAGTGAGGCCCTGGCAGGTACAAATCAGTCAAAAGAGAACAGATCCTTTCCTGAGAGTATGACTTTTGCGGTGAGGGGATTCCAAAGATATTTTGAATCCTCTGTGGTCTGACAATTAGGTTTCCTCTTTCGTCTATTCATTTGAAAAAGGGAAGAAGAGGTGAAACACAGACATTAGCTATGACCCCAAGAAAGAATCAGAGAGATACAAACATGAAACCCACAAATCCCAGACTCAGAGGCAGATATAGGAAAATTAAGATACACAGGAATTTTCTGGTAAAAAAAAAAAATTAATCCTTCCTTTTAGTTCCAATTTGTTCACCTGCCTACCTGTTGTGACCTCCTTTCCCCCCAATAAATGTCTCATATCTGAAAGTCTGTCCAACACATACCCAATGACAACGTATACCCTACTTATTATACACATATCCCAGAAACTTTCATCTCAGGAGTTCAAAGCTCTCATATTTATTATGAAAGTGAGAAGAGAGAGTGGGACCTACCAGCACTATGACAGACATCCAAAATAAGCATTCAGACTACTAAGTTCTAATGGCAGCTTTACCTCTCAAGAGCTGTGTGACCCCAGTTAAGTGAATTAGATTCTCAAGTTTTAGTTTCCTCATCTATGAAGATACAGACAATGTCTCTGACCTTGACACACGGGGGACTCCGTGGCCTTCCATCCATCACTGTCCTCTGACCCAGGAGTTGTCCACTAAACCCTGAGGCCAGCAGAGTCCCTCCTCCCCATAGGCCCAGTCCATTCCAGTTCCCCCACTGCTGAAGAACTGAGTAATGGAAACCTCAGTTTCCCCACAGTCAGCTGTCCTCCAGCCCTCGCTGTGCACCAGGGAACAAAACCCAGAATTCCCAATTCCTCTCTGTCTCTCACATACCTGAACCAAGTAAGAACACAACAACAAATCCAATGTCTCCTTTGCGAGCTCTGCCTGCCAAGACTAGCTAGCTAATTGCTGTTGATTGCATTAATTGCATGGCTCTGAAGTGTTAAGACAACTCCTCCTAGTGTAAGGTAGGGCAAGGGAAAGGAAGGAATTCAGGAACGAAAGCTCCACAAGGTAAAACTCTTCTCCCACTCCCGACCCTAACATCCCTTCCATGGCTTCACAGCTGAACGTGACCCAAGAGCCCAGTAGGACAAAGTGTTAGGTAGCAGCTGAATCTTCTCGACGGGACTGGAGCCAGACGGGTCCCCTGAGAACTGGGTGGGCCCCAAGCCCCAGACGTGAAGGAGAGGGCACCAACCCACACATGCCGCACAGGCCAAGAAAGGCATATCGGTTCTGGATACTTTATTCTCTGCTCATGCCTAAAACAGACCCCTCGCCCCCATCTTCCTGCTCCGTCTCTGCAGCAACCCCCTCTTTAAACATCAGGGCCTACTGCCTCAGGTCTAGAAGACCCATCACAGACAATCTCCTCTCCCCTTCTCTGGACCCTGTAAGAGGACAGTCAACTGGAGATGAGAGCTACATGGACAGGGAAAATGTCATGGCTCCAGCCGGGGACAGGAAGAAGTGGGGCAGAGCTGTGCAGTATGGTTTCGGGCAAACAGAGCCCAACTTCAGAGAAAACAGGCACAAACTAGTAGCTTCAGAGGAAAAAGCCCCATCTCCAAAACTGGTCCAGGAGTCCCTCTTGGCCAACCCCAAGGTTTCATGTGTGAGGTGTCTCTAGCCACCTGAGTCGGTAGCTGAGACCTGTCTGAACCTCCTTTCAGGGACAGCTTTTCCTGCCAGGACCCCACAGGGGCAATGCCATTTTCTCAAGAGGCCTCTCTTACATCTGCCCTCTCCCTACTCCGTATAAGGTTCTGGGCCAGATGGGTGAGAGCTGAGAGCAGCCTCTATCACGGAGGGAGGCAACGCAGCTGTCAAAAGTGACATGCCATCCACAACGCCAGACTCAGCCTGCAGTGGCAGCACAGAGGAGGGCACAGACACCAGAGTCCCAAAGACGCAGAACAGGGGTCTCTAATCCCCGAGCAAAGGCTAGGGGTTCAAGGTGAACGGCTCCCAAGCACATTTCTCAAAATGTAGTTGCAGAAGAGAGCGCTGCTCCACCAAAATACAGAAGTTGAGCGGCCAAAAGCAGGTGGACAGGGGTACGGTTAGGAGAGACCCCTGAGGAGGTGGGGGCTGGGCTGTTCTGAGTCCCAGCACATATATGTCCCCTCAGGCCTCCCCCACATGACAAACCTGTAAGTTCCCCTCACAGGCCACAGACCAACTTTCTGCAGAGAAGGAGGTGCGCGGAGCAGAGTCGGTGCGAAGGCGCAGTAATGGGGAGCTTCCACCGGGCGCCCCAAGTGGATGAAAAACTGAAGTGCTGGGAGATAGGAGGGTGCTGGCCCACGCGGACCACCAGCCCCCACTGCCCAGCCAGGGGCAGCCCTCTGGACCCTGATGGTCCCCACCGCCCCGGCTGGGTTGGCAGGAAGGGGAAGGCACCGCACCGCAGGTAGCAGAGTTGCGCGACCAGGTGGCCCGGCCCTACCTGCAATTCCTGAAATTCTCCCTCCAGCTCATGCCACTCGCGCTCGCAACGCTCCAGCTGGCCGGACATGGTGCGGCGGTGCGAGGCGGCGGCGGCGGCGGCGGTAGCGGCGGCGTCAGCTCCCGCAGCGTGGAGCGGGCGGCCACCAGCACCGGAGCCCATCCGCCCGCGGGCCGCCTTCGGAGGCACCAGCTGTTCCTGCGCAGCCGGAGCCACGCGCGCACCTGACGTCACAGCCCCCGCCCCAGCGCCCGCCCCACCCCCTCGCCAGGAGGCAGGGCCCCGCGCATGCGCACGCACCTCCCCAGCTCCGCCCCCGCGCGCCCGCGCGCCGGATGCGGGGTCTGTTGCCGCCCCCTTGAGAATGCTCCTGCGCTTCCAGTCTCTCCTAAGAGGCTGGGGAGCTTGTCCACAGGCTGCATTTGCAGAGCTTATCTTACTTAGATTGTGTTTATTTGGGATGTCTGGAGTCGTAAGGAAGATTCGGGGGAGGTAAAAGCTCACCACCCCTTGGCATTGCCTGACCAGAGTCGAAGCTAACGGCCGGGAATGCTAGAACTGACACTGACCATCCAGCAAGGTCGCCAGGCAGGGCGGGGAAGCTCAAAGAGGGACCCGTCGTCTCCCCTGTCATTACTTAACTGCAACCAAGACTCCTGCCCCCTAAGATTCTGCGTGACTCTCTTGACAGCTGTGTCTGTCGCTCATGCGACACCATTGCCTCCTTTCCCAGCATGGACCTCCAAGATCTAACCCTGCCTAGCTTCGCAGTCACATCTTCTATCTCACTCCCCTGGATCAGTAATTCGCAGACACGGTTTCTTTTTCTCTTCTTACCCTTCAGGAAACATTCCCTCCAAATCTTATGGTTGCCTTTTCCTCATCATTCAATCCTTAGTTCCAACGACACCTGTGTTAATTTCCTGGGGCTGCTGGGGAACCTGCCTGGCTCAGTGGGTAGAGCGTGCAACTCTTGATCAGAGTTCTGAGTTCAAGCTCCGCACTGGACGCGGAGACTACTAAACAAAAAACAAAAGGAAGAGGAGTGGGCAGGGGAGGGGAAAGGAGAGGAGGAAGAGAAGAAAAAATCCTAGGAGCGCCTTAACCACAAACTGCGCTGTTTAAATACCACAAACTGAGTGGCTTAAACAATAGGAGTGTATTCTGTCTCACAATTCTGGAGGCTAGGAGTGTGAAATCAAAGTGTCAGCAAACACAAGCTCCAAGACTGGGTAAAATCTTTCCTTGCTTCTTCCTAGCTTGTGGTGGCCCTCAGTCCTTATCATTCCTTGGCTTGCAGCTTCATCCCTCCAGTCTCTGCCTCTGTTGTTACATGGCCTTCTTCCCTGTGTGCTTGTCTCTGTGTCCTCTCCTCTTATAAGGACACCAATCTTACTGGATTTAAGGGTCCACCCACTCCAGCATGACTTCATCTAAGTTGAACTAATTACATCTGCAAAGACCCTGATTCTAAATAAGGACAACCTTCTGAGGTAATGGGTCGTAGAACTTCAACATATCTTTCTGGGGGACACAATTCAAATGGTAACAACACCTCTGAAAAAAAGACCTTTCCTGAATACTCAGAGCTTCGTGCCTCCTCCCAGTCACTAATCTGTCACCTGTCTTACTTCCTTCATATAAGTCACCGTTGCTTGAAAGTGTTCGTCTTCATATTGGTTGTGAGAATCCCTCCGTGGGTATAGAATCAGCATGAGATCTCAGGGATCTTGTCTCTGTCTTGGTCGTCATTGTATCTCCCGAGCTTGGCACATAGTAGGTTGTTAATATTTGTTGAAGGAATAAACATGAAAGACCATCTAGTGCAAAGGTTCTCAACTTTTGGGGTTCATAAGCCACTCTAAAAACTCTGAATGGGGAATATACACATAAGCACACAGAGAAACATTCAGAAGTCTTTTTTTTTTTTAAGACTTTATTTGACACAGAGAGAGAGAGATCACAAGCAGGCAGAGAGAGGGGGAAGCAGGCTCGCCGCCAAGCAGAGAGCCCGATTCGGGGCTCGATCCCAGGACCCTGAGACCATGACCCGAGCCGAAGGCAGAGGCTTTAACCCACTGAGCCACCCAGGCGCCCCAACATTCAGAAGTCTTAACTGGTGCCTGAAGAAAGCATGACTTACTCAAAATTCCCAGTTAATTAATGACCGACTTTGAATTATGATTGTCATCCCTGGAGGTTGGAACTTCAACATATCTTTGGGAGGGATGCCTAGGTAGCTTGGTCAGTTAAGCATCTGGGTCGTGGTCCCGGGGTCCCCGGATGGAGCCCCATGTCCAGCTCACTGCTCAGCAGGGAGCCTGCTTTTCCCTCTCCCTCTGTCTGCCACTCTGCCAGCCTGTGCTCTCTCTCTGCAAATAAATAAATAAAATCTTTAAAATATATATATATCTGGGACGCCTGGGTGGCTCAGTGGGTTAAGCCGCTGCCTTTGGCTCAGGTCATGATCCCAGCGTCCTGGGATCGAGTCCCACATCGGGCTCCTTGCTCAGCAGGGAGCCTGCTTCTCCCTCTGCCTCTGCCTGCCACTCTATCTGCTTGTGCTCACTCTCGCGCTCTCTCTCTCTCTCTCTCTCTGACAAATAAATAAAATCTTTAAAAAAAAAAATATATATATATATATATATCTTTGGGAGATACAGTTCAACTCCTAACAATACCTTCCAATAAAAGTGAATTAAGGTGTGTTTTCATGCCTCATTATTGCAGATTGGATGCCAGGCATTGTGAATTTTACCTTGTTGATCGATTCCCTTCCTCTACCCCTTTTTCTTCTCTTCCTCCCGTCTTCCCTCCCTCTCCTTCTTTTGTATTTCAGTTTCCCTAAAAATATCCTTAAGCTTTACATTAGACGCAGTTACTTGGAAACAATTTTATCCTTTCCGATCTTGCTTTTAGCATTTATCTGGGACTAAAACAGGGCTCAGTCGAGAGCTGATTTTTCCCCACTACGTGAGGCAAGATCAGTACACCATGAAGTTTTCCATTCTGACTGTTGGGATGAGGCACTATTCCTGGGCCAGTGTGAGGGCTATACACTCTTACTTCTAATCATTTGAGATGGTTCCTTCCTTGGCCTCAGGTGGCTGTCCTTGCATACATGCTGACCAGTGCTCTGCTGACTGCTGGAGGGGGTTTGGTGGGCCCCTGGAGTCTCTGTGTCCAGCTGTTTCTTCTTTACAATTCTAACTTCCTTACACCCCCTGGGCTCTCAGCTCTATCTTCTCAACTCTGGGGGTCTCTCAGGCTTCACCTGGGATCCCCCTCCCTGCACCATCGCCTAGAAACTCTCAAGACAATAAGTGGGACAATGGTAGAGTAACTCCTACAATTTGTTTCCTGTTTCCCAGTGACCACATCCTCTGTTGACTGATATCCAGTGTCTTGAATGAAAAACATAATGTCATGTGTTTTTCCCCATTTTGTGGTTGTTTCAGATGAGAAGGTAAATCTGGTCCATGTTATAGTATCTTGGCTAGAAGCAGAAGTCAGCATAATGCATTTGGGATCCGTGCGCATCAATAGTTCATTTCTTTTTTTCTTCTGCTGAGTATATCTCATTGTGTGATCAATTTGCTTCTCCATTCTTTATCCATTCACTGGTTGAGGGAATTTTGGGTTGTTTCCAATTTGAGCGGATTATGAATAAAGCCACTATAAACATTTATGTAAGTCTTTTAATTACAAAAAGGACAATTTCACATTAAAATCCAAACTTTCTTTTTTTTTTTAGATTTATTTATTTATTTATTTGACAGAGAGAGAGAGATCACAAGTAGGCAGAGAGGCAGGCAGAGAGAGAGGGGGAAGCAGGTTCCCTGCCAAGCAGAGAGCCCGATGCAGGGCTCGATCCCAGGCCCCGAGACCATGACCTGAGCTGAAGGCAGAGGCTCAACCCACTGAGCCACCCAGGCGCCCCTAAACTTTCATTTTTTTTTAAGTAATCTCTACACCCAACTTGGGGCTTGAACTTCACAACCCCATGATCAAGAGTTGCAGGCTCTACTAGCTGAGCCAGCCAGGCACACTTAAAATCCAAACTTCTACTGTCTTTTGAAAAATGGGAAGATCTGATCACACTAGGCTCACATCTCTCTCTGCGTGGCAATGGGCTGGAACAGAGTAAAATGGGCTTGCCACTTGCCCCAGTCCCCACCATGCTCAACTATCTTGCCCCAGACCACACTTCATGTATTTATGTAAACTGTAGTCCTTGGAGCCACCTGAATTTGAGACTCCTGATACAGTATGTCATGAAGATTACAAAACCAGATGGACCACTCATATGGTGAAAAAAACAGAAGTGGGCTTACTTAATTGGGGTTAGTGGAATCAAAAAGGAAACACGGAGCCTTGAAGGATGAGTAAAGTGGCACCAGCGGAGGATTTGGGAAGATGTCCCTCCACCTTTGCTGGCAGCTACTCAGTCCAACCAAGTCCATCTGCCCCAGGCTGCCTGTGTTGGGAGAAGCTGGGCCCGCCCCCCCCAGGGAGATCTGAGCAGGTGCACCTTATCTGCAGGCTGGCCAGCGGTCAGGCTGCAAATCTAAGGGACTGTTCTCCCTGTGGGATCAGGACTTGGTATGCATTATTCACCCTTTTGTAGATGGCAGGGGCTGGTCACCCCGATCTGCATAGCCGCTCGGGTGCCGGAAGTCTCAGTTCATACCTGGCTGCTGTCACCCTGTCCCGGTTCCTGCCCAAAGTGTGTTCAGACTCTGTTGTCAGCTCCCTGGGGCTGGATCTGGCTCTGCTTAAGAACTTTGATCACTCGGGGTGAGAACGTATGTTATCCTCCTCACCCCCTGCCCATCCCACCAGGGGGAAAACTCCCCTCTGTTCTCTTTAAGGCACTCTATTTAGGAACCTGGTAGCCTGAGACTTTGTACAACCAGCTGGGAAGAGTCATAAAAGTAGCAAACACATAGCGGTCACTATGTGCCTGGTGCTCTTAGTAGATACTTCATGTATACACATCCGTGCTCTAAGTCTTCAAGTGCCTTGAGGAAGGACCGCTATTCTCTGTTTGACAGGTGAATATTTTAAGGCATAGTTTTTTCAGCCTT